TATGAAACCTTTAGTTTGCCTAACACTCTTAACCCATACAGTAAAGTTATGGATCACTTTAACCAGGATTCATGCTAAATTCAAGCCAACCAACCATATCATAGCTTAAAAACCTAGGCGACACATTATTCTAAGCCAACAGTTGATTTATTTTGGCACAACATGATGTTTTGGCCTCCCCCCTTTGCTTTTCATGCTGCTATTTGTGACTTAGTGTCCTGTGAACTGTGCTAATTGAAGCTTATTTAAGGTTAAAATGAATCAGGGCTTAGTACAATAGCTAAAGCCCAGCCAATAGGATAGGCGAACTATGTCACAGATTGTGTTCCCACATCAATTTGTATTGGGGAATCGTGGTTTACAGCACTGTTTCTCAACCTGAGCACCGTTACAGTGGGTGGGCTTCAACTCCCCAAATCCCTCAGCCAGCATTCCAGCTGGGAATTCTGGGAGATGAAGTCCACCCATCTTAAAGCGGCTAAGGTTGAGAAAGAATGATTTAGGGATTAATCTACAACATCTCTGTCTACACGAATTAGAGACCAAAATTATATCTTAGCATAATGTAAAATTTGAACTACAAATCAGTCTCTTGCAGACATCATTAGAATCAGGTTACTTAACCTGCCATTGAAATTTTTATTGATACTTTATTGGAATCCATTTCAGTCTCTTTCCCCATATTTCTACACAGGCCGGGATAAAAAAAAGATGTAGAACACATCTTCCAAAATGGAGACATTCCAAAGCCGGGAGATATGATGCAATTCCAGCTGGTTTTCCCTGTCCAGCATTGGGGTATCTACATAGGCAATGGAGAAGTTGTGCATTTCTCATTATCATGTGAGAGAAAAGTATTTTATTATCTGTTTCAGGGGTATCAAACTCGCAACGTCACGTGACGTGTCGTGACGTATCGCGACTTTTTCCCCATTTCCGGCCATGGGGTGGGCGCAGTTTCGACATGACACATCTGGCCCGCGGGCTGGCAGTTTGACACCCCTGATTTATATCCTACAGAAATGTCCTACTTTTCCCCTGGGAACTCAAGGGGAAAGCTACCTGGGAGACTTTATGGTAGGCTCACCTGACAAGCCACATCTAAGCTAGGTTCAGCTGAGAAAAAATGATGGAGAGTGGAGTGTAGGCAAGTCCAGAGAAAGGGCTGCAAGGCTACTTGGTCATCCCACACCTCCTCACAAGGAACATCTGGAGGGGAGTAACTTAAGGAGAAGGGGGTGGGGAGACTAGTCTTTGCCAGGAACAATTGTTTGTGTTAGATTACAGTAGTGGCCAAAATTGCGGAAACCTTTTGGGAAAAGTGTATTTTTGAGGTTGGATGGCTAATAACACCACTTTTGTTTTGGAGTAGTACCATAAAATTATATATCAATGGAAAGATAATTTAATCAAGAACGTAATGCAACATAGTTTGTTCAATTATCTGTACTGTATTCTATGAAATGTTATAGCCAAATCACCAGAAAAAGGAAGCACAACTTGCTTAGGTTGATCTCAGGGAGCTTTCCTTCATCTGATTGTAGCCAATGAGCAGGAGTGTTTAGAGAGCCAATCAGACATCATCTTGCTTTGGCCATGAGCCAATCGGATCACGGTAGGATTCAGTTATTGATGTCATGTATTGAAGCTGAGAGGAGTACCACCAGTCGCCTAGCAAGGTGTCAAAAACTTGATGCCCCCCCCCAAAAAAGAAAAAAAGTGATGAAGTACAGGTAGTCCTCGACTTACAACAGTTCGCTTAATGACTGTTCGAAGTTACAATGGTACTGAAAAAAGTGCCCCCCCAAGCCACAGCCGAGCAAGGCACCTGCCTGCCCGCCCGGCGGCGCTCTTCCTCCTGTCCGAGGTTTTCATTGTTGTGAGCATTTCTGTTGAGGATTGACACCGGGGGTGGGGTGGGGGAGTTGTTTGGTTTTTATTCCCCCCATCTGCTGGGTGGTTGCAGCAGGTTTTGATCAGTTCACATGACCATCATAAATATGAATCACTTGCCAAGCATCTGAATGTAAATCACAGGACCCTGGAGATGCTGCAACATTCCAGCTGATCAGCACTTCTTCTGGGCTCAGCAGAAACGCCAGGATCAGCGCCGAGCTCCAGCCCCGAAGAAGCGCCGATCAGCTGGAAAGCGGCACTGATCCTGGCGCTTCCGCTGAGCCCTGACAGCCCTGCAGCTCCAGCCGTCTCTCGCTCAGGCTTGTGCGGTGCTGCCACCGGTGCAGCTCATTCCTCTCCCCCGCTACCATTTTTCTAGGATGGTCGCGTACCACCTGCCAGGTGCCAATGTACCACAGGTGGTACCCGTACCACTGGTTGAAAAGCCCTGTCTTACAAGGATGTCAACAAAATCATTTCTAAAACCCAGCATCTCAACTTCTCTTTTTTCAGTTTCTGACACATTTCCATACAAGGTCCGCAGAGAAAAAATCAAGGATGTCTCAGGAGCTGTGAAAAGTGCCGTGTGGAACAAATTCGATCACAAATATCCTCCCTTGGATGCTACTCGTGTGGTGAAAAGAGCTCTGCATATGGTAAACAAAGTCCCAGGATACAACTTCGTCACTGCAAACTGTGAGCACTTCGCCACGTTGATGAGATACGACAAGGCTCTGTCTGATCAGGTAGGATCTCCAGTTCTCTGATCATTTTTTTCATTTCAATTGGCTTTTTTTCCCCTCCACCTCCAGAAAATACAACAAGTTGCAGACCCTCTTTGGGGCTTTTGCTTCTATTTTTGCTTATTTATAGCTTCCTGCGGTATTCATGAATCCAGTTAGGTGGAATCAGATTTTGGTCGATTAAATAAAGAATACTTTTTAAAAACCCTAAGGAGGTAGGTAGACAAAATGCCAAATCCAGTCTGAACATCTGGCTGACTGTGCAATGATCCTCAATAATAATAATAATAATAATAATAATAATAATAATAATAATAATAATAATAATAATAATAATAATAATAATAATAATAATAATAATAATAATAATAATAATAATAATAATAATAATAATAATAAAGTTGGAAGGGACCTTGGAGGTCATCAGGTCCAACCCCCTGCTCAGGCAGGAAACCCTATACCACGGGTCGGCAACCCGCAGCTCCGGAGCCGCATGCGGCTCTTTGAGCCATCTCCTGCGGCTCCGAAGTCTCCTCCGCCATTTGCAGACAGAGACAGAGACAGAGAGAGGCTCTTGCGCTTCCCCTCTCTGTCTGTCTCTCTCTCTCATGCGGACTTGCCCCCTCGCAGGGCTCCTGATTGGCCCTGCGCCCGGATGCCCCGCCCCCTGCGAGAAGGGTGGCCAGAAAGTCCCTTTCCCGGGCTGGCCCCGTTCGAGGCTCATGTGGCTGGGGAGCCGCGCGGGGAAGCTCTGGGATCCCCGCTGGGAGCAGCCCACCGGAGCCTCCGTTGAGCGGGCCAGCCCTCCCGCAAGCCGCAGCCCCAAGGGAGAGCAGCCCCTGCGATGCCCAGCCAGCGCGACCATTGGCCAAGCAGCAGCAGAGCTGGAGACAGACGGTCAGTGGCGGGGGGGAGGGAGGGGGCTCCAAGTCCGCAGAGCGCCGCTGCAAAGCAGCCACGGGGCACGTGGTGTGCCCCCCCGGCTTACCTGTACCAGGCGGCAGTCCCGGTGGGGGCATCACTTCCTGGGCCATCCCCGGGCCGCCGAGCCAGCCACGTGTTTCCCTGGGCCGCGTGGCAGTCTTGGCTCGGGCGGCAGAGGCATCATTTTGCGGGCTGCTGAGCCGGCCATGTGTTTCCCCACGCCGGGTGGCAATGTCAGCTTGGGCGGTGGGGGCATTGCTTTGCGGGCTGCCGAGCCAGCCACG